CCCCCCCCCCCCCCCCAGCATTTCGGCCGAATTAGACCAAAGGTACTTCCATATGTTTTCCACTGCTTTTGTTCAAGTTCTACAATAACTAAACCTGCCTCCCAGGCAATACTGAAGCTTTAGGAGTTTTTAACACTTCTCTTTTTAAAAAAAAATTAATTAGATTTTATGTGGTGCAGCACAGAGGCGCAGAGTTAAAACAAGGGTACAAATTTCACAGCGTCTTGAGACACCAAGAAAAATATCTCACTTTCTGGCTCTGCAGAACACCCGCCCGCTAAGATGTTTTGTGATCTTTGTTTTTTAATTCCAGAAGTAAGATCAATCTGCCCAGAAATCACTGCGATTCCCAAGCTAACATCCTTTTCTCCTGCTCAGGATCCCCCTCGGACAGGGATGGGCAATTAATTTCTATAGGGGGGGCAGATGAAAAATCTGAACTGTGTTTGGGGGCCAAACCAACTTTACTTAAAAATAAAATGAAAGTGATGTTATGATTGTTTTTATTTTAAACTTGTTAATCTTCACAAATACTAAAGAAGTTTTTGTGGTATGTTAAAGATAAGCAAATGATCAACTTTAGAGAAAGAGCTATAAATGGTTTTGATGCCCGGCAAGCCGGACAGGAGCGGCTCGCGGGCCATTATGTGGCCCTCGGGCCGCACTTTGCCCAGGTCTGCCCTAGGAAGAGTATAGAGCTGTGCAGAATTTGGCCGTATCTTGGGCAAAAAAAAACATGGGCAAAAATTTTAAAAAGCAAAAATAATAATGGGAAAAACAAGTGTGTGTCCCTTTTCCAGGAAGCTGAGGAACCTCACGGGTGTAGAAAGAAGTCCCAGTGTGGTGTCTCTACATGTAAAAATTGGAGATAGCTGAGAATGATTTTTTTTTCAAATCTTCATAATGTCCTAGTTCAAACGTTCAGAGAAAGAACAGGGTCTGTATTACTTCAGGGTTCTTTTGCTAGGGTTCTTTTGGTGTAGTGTGTTAATAAAACCTGGTACAGAAAGAACTAAATCATCATCATCCTCTTAGAACAGCAGAGCTGGAAGGGACCCCTAAGGATCATACAGTACAGCCCCTGTCAAGGAGGCCCAGGGGGGATTCGAACTCTGAACTACGGAGCTACCCAGCCGTTCAGAACTTTGACACAATTGAGCCGCACCGGCGAATGTATGAGATCCGTTCGGTGAGTTTCCATGGCCTGGCAAGGATTTGAAGCCAGGTCTCCTGAGTCTTCATCCGTCACTGTATCTTGATGGAGACTGACCAAGACTAGAATGTGGCTTTATTTATAAGGGAAGCCCCCTTGCTCAACTTGAAGCACAGACCCTGAACCTATCAGTTCTGGCTAACCCACAGACACCTGAACCTATCAGGTTGGTACTCTGACACACAGTAGTACCCTGTCTGACACACAGACTCCCACACCAGCTTCTTCTTCCCAGCTGCTGCTTCGTCACATCCCAGCGTCTCTCAGCATCTCTCCTAAACTCTTCACACACACTCCACATATTTATACAGTACAGCCCCTCCTCCTGATGTCCCGCCTTCCACTCCCCATAGGATGGAACTTTCCCTCCAAACCCATGACAGACAGGTAACATCAGTGCTGTATGTAACAGGAGGAAGCTCCAATTGCATCACTCCAGATCTGGGCAGAAAAGTCAGCAACCTTAGAGCAGCCATGACAGAAGAGGGCTTAAGCTAAGCCTGACCCAGGGGGCTACACATGGCCTCCCCCATGGCCCATTTGTGGTCCCTGGATCCCCCTTACTGGGGGGGAAAACTGCCAAAAAAAGAGACATTTTCCATCTCTGAATCCTGCTTCTGAGATGCTGGCGTGTGTGTATCTGTGTCTGTCTGTGTGTGTGTGTTGCAGTGCCCCTTCAAAGGAAAACCCACAAACCCCATAAATGAGATTCTAGCAGCACCTTCTTTTGTTATAATCCTTGCTTATTGGGGGGCTGGCTGGCTGTTGTATTTCCCTTCCTGGGGGTGGAAAACCATCTTCCATGAGTCTCTCCTGCCTGGTGTCCAGCGTCCCAAGCTGTGTGGACCCTCCGTTTCCTATTTTTCCCCACGGGAAGTGGCGCAACCAATAACGATGCAGAGCGAGAGACTTAATCTTCTCTGCGGCTTAAAAGCAAGGTTTACAAACAGCTGGCTCGCCTGGACTTTTCCCAGCAGGCTGAGGAAGCCGGTCTCAGTTTTCGGCCAGACAACTAAAGGAAGTCAGCAGTCCACAGAAAATTGAAAAGAGAAAACTGGACGGAGAAGAAGGACTTGGAGGCAATAAACAGAAGAACGACACACTCACCCCTTTCAGAACAGTGACTGTTCTTCTTGCCCACACAGCCAAGAAAAAGGGGAAGAGCAGGTTAAGGAAGTGGAAAGAAATCTGATTCAGAGTCAAACATGAATTGGAGCCCAAGATTTGGGTTCTACGAAGGTTTTACAATATTAAGCCCTCCCTCCCTTTAAAGGAATTTAAAATCTCCTGCTCCTGTTAGGTTTCAGTTCTGGAATCCTTTGACATCCAGTAAAGCCTTTCCTTAAACTGGCTCGCAGGAACAGATCAGCCAAAAGAAGAAGAAAAAAGATTGTCGAAAAAGACAGAAACCACCAGTCTTCTTTTCTTTAAGGAACCTAACAGCCTAACTCTGTACCAAGGATGTACCCTGTCTTAGAGGGGGTCCGTCATCCAGCCTTCAGATGGGGAACCAGACACCAGCTTTGGGGGCACGAGTCTCGGCAGAGCTGCAGCCAGCCGGTTTTGGTGCCCAGGATAAAAGGGCGCCCGTCTCCCACTCACTCTGCCATGGGGCACGGGAGAGCCCCTCGTTCCAAAGCAGAGGAATTTGGTGGAAAAAACACACACACCAAGGAAAGAAGAAAGTTCAAGCTCTGAAACAGAGAATATTAAACAGGATCGGGGGTGATCCTGCTGATTTTTCCTAACACTCAACCATAGATTTCCCCCTCTGGATTTTGGCATCTTCTCATTTTGGGGCTAAGTTCCAGTTGCTCCCCTGAGTTACAGCCTGGGCGCAGCCACAAGTCAGCTCGGAGCCCTGAGGGCAGAGTCAATCCAGGTGGGCTGTCATGCCCATCAACCCTAACCATATGGGGATGATGGGAGTTGTAGTCCCTGATGAGCAATGAGTGACTCGGAAGACTTCAGGGTGACGGGCTGGGAAGAAACCCCCTCGAGAAAGAGGGTCTGGATTGGCATAAGATATAACGCTGAGTGAGAAGAGTTGGACAAATTCTCCCGAATAAGCTCACCTTGTTTTCTGGATCTCCAGCCCCCCCAAAAACTGAGCTAGATGATCCTTTAGGGTCCCTTCTGGCTCCACAAGTCTGTGGAAACCACAGAGCCAGACTCTCTGGGGGCAGGCCCCTAAAGAGCCCGGAGAAGAAGTCAAAGCAATATGGTCCAGCACCGTCATCAGCCCAGCGTCGTACGGATCTGCCCCCTCTTCAGAACAGGAAACAAGAACCACTCAAACAGACTCATTTTAGCTGCAAACGATTCACATATTTCACATTTCCTTCCAGCAGAGGTCAATGCCGTGCCGGCGGGGCGGGCGAGGCGGTCTTCTGATCCACCCCAAAAAGCAAAAGTGCAGAGGGACACCATGCAGAGGAGCACAATTCCTCTGTCACAAACGAGCTGCCCTCTGCACATGCCCAGGAGAAACCTTCCTAGACTCAATATAGTCTAGAAAGCATCTCTGGCTTTGTCAACGAGGCTCGAACCTCACTTTTTTGCATTCAAACAAAACCTCAGTCCGCCTGTTCTGTTTTGTTTTCTTTCCCCGGTTGTCAAATATTTGAACACAACCTTTCTCAAACACTTTTGGATGCACAATGTGTGATGTCTGATTCTCTTGTGGACGTGCGGTGGTCATTTTTCTATGGCGCACAAAGTTTTTCCTGGGTTCTCTTGTTGGCTTTTTCCGAAGGGTGTGAGGGTGTGGGGAGGATGATTTACACCGTTTCCCATCAACCCAGGAAAAAAAAACCCTTCTAACAGAGACTTCACAAGGAAAAGGGGGAGTTGCATTTAACTGAGAGCTGCAAGCCTTCTGCCTATGTTCAGGGTACTCTTGCTTTGCTCACCATCTCCTGCGGTTGTGGTACCACCACCCCCCCCAAACCCCAGGTCAAAAGAGAAGCCTGGTTAAGTTTTCTAACCACCTGTTCCACCCAGCCAGGGCTGATTTTTCCAGCTCTTTTCCTGGTATCCTGCTTCTGGAAACAACTGGAAGCGAATAAACCTCTCTGTGTTTATCTCTTCTAAGCCTGGGGAATCCTTTTTAAAGAGGATTCTCATAAAGACAGGAGTTTTCGACAATTTCTTCTTTCCAGCTCCTGGGGAGGAAGGGGGGAAAGTAGAAAACCTGTACTCACCTGTCACCCAAAAACTCTGTCAAGGCAGGCAAGCCAGGAGACGGTGAAGTGTCGGCCCAGGGTTGGATCCTGCCACCTTTCCTTCGGCTCTGACTGAGGACACCCAGCGACCTGCGTCTTCTTTTTATACCAGCACAGTCCACCCTCTCCATTCATCGCAGGCACCCACAGAAACCTTCCAATTAGACGCTCACTGCCGTATTCCTCCGAAGACGACGGCCAGATGGTTTTCTAAAATAGGAGGCTCAACACACACACACACACACAGACACACACCCCATCTCCGCTGCAGGGCAGCGAGCCATGCATCAGCTGCCCACCTGGAATAGAAACCCCGGTGACTCTCACATTTAGAAAAGCCAAACCAAAGCAGCCACTTCTCCTGCTTCCTTCAGCCTGCCATCCCTGGCTTAATTCTATTTTATTTTAAATTTTTTTTTGCACCCTCCTTCCTTCTCCCTCCTCAGCACAAACCTAACAAAGGGCTTGGACGTGAGGTAGGCTTAATTAAATTTGGTGGTGCGCGGGTGCATCTCTCACATCTGGCCATTCACGTTCTTTAAAAAATCATGCCACCGAGAGCCCCTCTGCTTCCGAAATGTTCAGCTCCTCACCTGCCTATTGTTCTCGGCCCTCGGCTGTACTTTCGCTTCCTCCTCGAGCGCATATCTGTTTGTTTGCCGACCTGATGCGAAAGCCGGCTGTTCTCATATTGGCAGTTTTAATGGCTTGCAACCCCCGGAGACCACCGGCGATGGCACAGTATTGAAACCCTGGTGAATAAATCTGGGCACGCCGCATGGATTTCTCCCTGTGTGTCTTGTCTGCTCACAGGCAGACACGCGTGTGCACACACATGTGCATGGGCCCACTTCAAAGGCAGCCGTCCCTGGCTCATTCCTTTTTAAAACACCGCTCACCCCGACCCTCCTTTCCCAGCTCACAAGCAGAGTTCTGGCCGACAGGATAAAGCAGAGCTTCTGAGCCTGTGCAGAGTACAACTGGAAATGTGTTTGGGTTGCTTCCATGAGGGGGAGATAACTTCCCCCCTCTTTTTAAAAAAATATCTTGAGGGCTGTATTCTGCCAGCCCCTCCTGAAAGCAGACTTTCCCTTCTCTCCTTCAGCCTCTGCCACCACTTCCTTCTTCGTCCTTGCCAGCCTCTTTCTTCCGTCTTGATGCCACCTTTTCTTCCCTCCCTCCCTTCTTCCCTTCCCCCCCTTCTCTCTCATCATCATCCGCATCCTCATTTTAGGACTGCACAGCTGGAAGGGACTCTCTGGATCCTAGAGGGCCCAGAGGGGGATTCAAATTCCCAACCTTGGGCCCCGCAGCCAGAAACCTAAACCCTTGACCTCTCCAGCATTTCTTCCTCTTTTTTCTCTCTTTCTGGAACCCCTTTTTCAACTCTCTCTCTCCCTCCCTCCGTCTCTGGGCTACCCCTTTTCCATCTGTCCCAGCCTTCCTCCCACCCCCTTTTTTCTCTCTCCTGTTCTCTCTTTTCCTCCCACCCCCTTCTTTCCCCTCACCCCGCCATCCCCTCTTTTTTCATCTCCACTGGCCAAGCTTGCTCAGGTGGAACCAAATCCAAACCGATCACCTGGAAAAGGCCATGACAACCCCAATGACACAATACAGTTTCTTTAATGCCCACCTGAGTGTAAAGCGAGGCAACATCGACTCCGCTTCTCCCTTAGGAACCCAAATCTGCAGCCGTTTGGCTTCCATTCACAGCTTCTGCCAGCTGGTAAGGCCATGCTAGCATTTGGTTCCAGTAACTTTGTTGTTGTTGTTGTTGTTGTTGTTGTTGTTGTTGTTGTTGTTGTTGTTGTTGTTGTTGTTGTTGTGTGCCATCAAGGCGCCTCCCATTCATGGTGATTCCCTGAAGGAGCACTCTCCAAAAGGCCCCGTCCTCCACAGCCCTACTCAGCTCTTGCAAACTCAAAAGTCGTGGTTTCCTTTACAGAGTCCGTCCATCTCGTGTTGAGTCTTCCTCTTTTCCTGCTGTCTTCCATTTTTCCCAGTATTCTTGCCTTTTCCAGAGAATCTTGCCTTCTCCTGAGGTGCCCAAAGTAGGACGACCTCAGCTCCGACATGTTTGCCTCCTGAGAGAATTCAGCCTTGACTCGCTTGTTCTTCTTTCGGACCGTCCATGGTATCCACTGAAGCTCTTCTCCGGCACTGTATACCAAGTTCCAGGAATAACTTTACTTTGCCGCTTGCCCTACCTCACATGTTTTCCATTAGATTCCACATCAAAACACTACCAATATCTCGGATCAGCCATTTGCTGAGCTTCTCTGATGCCTCTCGCCTTCCCAGTTGGAAAACTCAAGATAAATTCCTCAACAAGTGTCTTCTGATAGGGGTGTAGTTCCCCAAAATTGTAGATCAGGCCAGATGTCTATCACACACCCTCTCTTGATCTGTGCCTTCCCACCCTGATGTGTTCGCCGCATGGAAGGCCAAAATGAGTTCAGAGGTAGCCAGGTTGCATCCCAGGGCGGGGCCTGGTCTCTCATACCTAAGGTAGACCAGGACAAGAACAAACGAATCCAAGACCGATGGGATCCTGACACACACACACACACCCTGGGGGCACCTTCCCTCACCAAATCATACAAAGGGACACTCTGTTCTAGGCATGCCTTCTCAGGAGCAAACCACAACAAAAAGGTTTCTTAGCCAATTAAGTTGATCATGGTCCGTGATCCAAGCCCATGTAGAGTGTCTCACCTTGAAACCTTGGAGTGAGATGTTCCCCCAACACCCACACATAAAACCACAAGCTAGTGGTGATGTCCAAACAGGGTATTATAGAATGATGAAGTCGGAAGGGGCCTCTAAGGCCATCCAGCCCATTCTCTGGTGCTCAAAGCAGGAATCCAAATCAAAGCAGATCGGACAGAGGGTGGTTGTCCAGTTTTCTCTTGAAGGCCTCCACAGCGCTGTAGTGCTCACCACCTCCTGAGGTTGTGGGTCCCCTCGTCGGCTTCTGTAACAGTGAATAAGTTTTTCCCCCTGATGTTCAGCCGAAATCTGACTTCCTGTCGATTGAGCCCCTGGTTGCGTGTCCTGTCCTCTGGGGTTCTTGAGAGCAGACCGTGCCCCTCCTGAAGGACAGCCTTTCAAGTCTTTGAAAAGGGCTCTCCTGTCTCCCCTCCATCTTCTTTTCTCAAGGTGAAACATGAGCAGTTCTTTCCGTCTTTCCTCCTCCAAGGGCTTGGTTTCCAGTTCTTTGATCTAGTAAGTAAAGCTTAAACGGTTTTGAACTATTCTCTACCAGTTGTGCAAGATCACCATTGGCTCAGCCTGCACAATTTGTGCAGAAAAGTGGAAGGAGTTTTGGGGCAAATTCATAGGCCAATTTATGCAGAACGGCACCCATGCTAACTGTGAGAACTTTCCCAAAAGCTCTGGGAAATCCTTCGCCACCTCTGGCAGGGAGGACAAAAATGTTAATATGGTTTGCCCTTATAGGCAAAGATGAGTAAAGTTCGGATCTGACACTCTTAATTTTATCTGTAGTCAGAATCTTGTTGGAAGGAACAGAATGTGTCAGAGTAATCAGGCAACCAGTAGGCATGGTGTTTCCATATATTTTTTAACTTATTCATTCTTTATTTTGCAGTCACCGGCCCAAGTTAAAGCAATAAGAACAACGTAAAGATAATTATTAAATTAACTACAGCCCCCAGAAACTCGCATGGATCCTCCACCACCATCCTAGCCAAAAACAGTCCTTTTGGTGATCTGTCATTCCTTTCATCTGAGAAACAATGGCTTCTCTTAGACCTGCTGAAGATGGAGATATTGACAGGGCTGGGCTAGCTTCCATAGGAAGTGCAAGGCATGACTGGGTCTGGTAGTTTCACAAGAGGCACTCTGTATGGAATATAACAGGCAAGAGAGACCATCAGACCCCTAATGCCTTTCATGTCCCATGGAACTTAGCCCCGCTTTTATCTTCATCGTGTCTGAGAGTAGCCATTATTTCTCCACAAAGAGTAATTAAAGACAACCGAAAAAGCTCAGAGTTGGTTGGTTGGTTTTGAGGTGGGAATGCAAAGCCCCCAGAAGTCTGGCTGGGGGAACCACAAATTCTGAAAATCCCATGCCAAACTACCTGCATCTCTCCTTTGGCAGGGTGTTCAATGGAACCCATGGTTTTGCAACCTTTCCTTTCCAATTAAAAACAAAAGGCCCTGAACAAAATAAGGAACCAGTTTGCCATGACCGAGGGACTTCAGGCTAATCTGTCCGTCCTTCTGTCTTTTCTGTTGCTTCCCCCTTTTGCAGAGATGCAGTGACAGTAAAGATGAGCAAGAAGAAGAGCTATACGTACCATTTTTTGAGAAGAGTGATATAATAAAGAACAGTAAATCAGCTCACTAAATTAGTCCTGGGTCAACGTATGTCTCTCTTTGCTTTCTTACATTTTATAATGCAATTTTATTTACCATTGTGTGATCTTGGGGGGTGTGCCGTTCTTTCTCAGTGGGTGGATTTTCTTATCGGTTGTGCATGAGCAAGGTTCCGTTGTATTCTCCTTTCCTGTGATCGCTCAAGTTCTGTTTTGCAACAATATGAATATGCGTTATCAGAAGTTTAAGGTGTTGTTTCCTTAGGTTTGGATGCCTCTTTGTCACCGAATGCAAAAGCCAGATGCTAAAGTTGTCAGGCTGCATCTAACACATTATTTTCAAGCCCTAGGAATGGAGAGATGCAGGCTTTTGAACCCACCTGACTCTGGAATGTACCTTTCACCCACCCTGACCCCCCTCGCAGGGCTCTTAGGAAGATAAAGAGAGATAAAAAAAACAGCCCCCTTGGCCTCGTAGGAGGAATCCCAGGGTAAATATGGGGCTCCCAAATCCCACCCGACCAAAGAGTGGTAGATTCGTCCACGGGGGTTTGCCCACGGTGGCATTTGCTTGGAGAGCCAGAGTGTGGTGCTCATCTGTGCGACCAGGGTCTAGCAGAAGAGAGCCCATGGGGTGGTTTCGTTCAACATTCGTCCTGAAGGGTGCTTGAGTGCAGACGAGCCTCATGCATCAAGGATCTTGATCCGTCAATACAGCAAACAAAGCCAAGGGCACTCCAATGACAAAAGCGCGCCGCTCAAGGGCTTTCCTGTCTCAGGGTAG